GTGTGTACAGGAAGCAACTGATTGATGTTTCTCTCCCTTCCTCTCTCTCAAATCCATAGAAAGCATATCCTTGGGTGAGGATTAAAGAAAAATTTTTTCTTAAAAAGTTCAGAACCAGATGGCGTCACTGGTGAATACTACCAGACATTTAAAGAAGAATTAGTACCACTTCTCAAACTCTTCCAAAAAACAAGAGGAGGGTATGCTTCTTCCAAATTCATTTTGCAAAACCAGTATTACCCTGATAGCAAAGCCAGACAAGGACACTACAAGAAAAGAAAATTATAGGCCTGTATCCCTGATGAAGATAGATGTAGATATCCTCAACAAAATACTAGTAGTAAATTTAATAGTAGTAAAAGGATCATACACCATGATTAAATGGGATTTATTTCTGGGTTGCAAAAATGGTTCAACATATGCAAATCATTAAATGTGATATACCACGTTAACAAAATGAAGGATAAAAATCATATGATCATTTTAATAGATATAGATGCAAAAAAAGCATTTAACAAAATTCCATATCCATTATGATAAATATTCTCAGCAGAATGGGTCTAGAGGGAACATACTACAACATAATCAAGGCCATATATGACAAGCCCACGTCTGCTATCATATGTGAAAAGCTAAAAGCTTTTCCTCTAAGATCAGGGACAAGACAAGGATGCCCATGTTTGCCACTTTTTTTGAAAAAGTACTGGAAGTCCTAGCCAGAGTAATTAGGCAAGAAAAAGAAATAAAAGGCATCCAAATTGGAAAGGAAGAAGTAAAATTGTTTCTTTTTGCAGATGACATTATATATTTAGAAAATCCTAAAGACTTTGCAAGACACACACTTGTTAGAACTAATAAGTGACTTTAGGAAAGTTGCAGGATACAAAATCAATATACAAAAATCAGTTTTATATCTATACACTAACAATAAACTATTGGAAAGAGGAATTAAGAAAATCCCATTTACAATAACACAAAAAAGGATGATATTTAGGAATATATTTTACCAAGGAAGTGAAAGATCTGTACACTGAAAACTATAAGGCATTGATGAAAGAAAGTGAAGAAGACACAAATAAATGGAAAGATATTCTGTGTTCATGGATTGAAAGAATATTGTTAAAATGTTCATACTACCTAAAACAATCTATAGATTCAGTGCAGTCCCTATCAAAGTTCCAATGGCATTTCTTGCAGAAATAGAAAAAACAAAAACACAGTCCTAAAACAACTATGGAGCTACAGAAGACCCCAAATAGCCAAAACAATCTTGAGAGAGAACAAAGCTGGAGGCATCACACTTCCTGAATTCAAACTATGTCACAAAGTGATAGTATTCAAAACAACATGGTATTGTCATAAAAACACAAAGATCAATGGAACAGAATAGAGAGCCCAGAAATAAGCCCATGTATATATGGCCAATTTTTTTATTTTTAATTTTTTTTTTTGGTCCTCACCTTAGGATATTTTTTCCCATTGCTTTTCAGAGAGTGAAAAGGGGAGAGGGAGAGAGAGAAAGAGAAAGAAACATTGATGTGAGAGAGACACATCAATTGACTGCCTCCCATTCGCACCCTGACCAGGGCAGGGGATTAAGCCTGCAACCGAGTAATGTGCCCTTGGCCAGAATCGAACCTGGGACCCTTCAGTCTGCAGGCTGACCACTGAGCCAAACCAGCTAGGGCTGGCCAATTAATTTTTGACGAAGGAGCTAAGAATATACAGTGGGAAATGGGTAGTCTCTTCAATAAGTGATGTTAGGGAAACTGGATAACAACATGCAAAAGAATGGAACTGGACTCCTATCTTACACCGTGTGCAAAAATCAGCTCAAAATGGATTAAAAGCTTGAACCTAAGTCCTGAAACTTGAGACTCCTAAAAGAAAACATAGTGGGTAAGCTTCTTGACATTCTTGGTATTGATTTTTTTTTTTTAAATATTTTTTTATTGATTTCAGATAGAAAGGAAAAGGGAAAGAGAGAAACATCAGTGATGAGAGAGTTGTTGATCGGCTGCCTCCTGCACACCCCCTGCTGGGGATCGAGCCCACAATTGGGGCATGTGCCCTGACCAGGAATCAAACCATGATCTGGATCTTAGGTCGATGCTCAACTGCTTAGCCATGCCGGCTGGGCTGGCATTGATTTTTTGAGTTTGAAACCAAAAGCAAAGGCAACAAAATCAAAATAAACATCGAACTGAAAAGCTTCACAGAAAAGGAAACCATTAGCAAAACAAAAAAGCAACCTACATAATGGGAGAAAATATTTGCAAACCACACATCTGATAAGGGGTTAATATCTAAAATATATAAGAAGCTCATGTAACTCAGCAAAACAAACAACCGCCCCCTTCCCCAGATAACCCAGTTAAAAAATGGGCAAGGGACCTGAATCAACATTTTTCCAAAGATATACAAATAGCTGACAGGTACATGAAAAGTTGCTCAACATCACTAATCATCAGAGAAATGCAAAACAAAACCATGAGATACTACCTCACACTCATTAGGATGACTACTCAAAAAAACAAGTGTTGGGAGGATGTGGAGAAAAGGGGATACGTGTACACTGTTGGCAGGAATGTAAACTGGGAGAGCCATTATGGAAAACAATATGGAGTTTCCCCAAGAAATTAAAAATAGCGACACCATATGATCCAGCAATTCCACTTCTGTGTAAATATCCAAAGGAAACAAATTCCTGTCTCAAAGAGGTATTTGCACTCTGATGTTTATTGCAGCATTATCATCATAGCCAAGCTACAGACACCTAAGTGTTGCATCAACATATGAACAGATAAGGAAAATTTATACACACAAGAATGTTATTCACCCTAGAAAAAGAAAATTCTATTTGCAACAACATGGATAAACTTGGAGGGCATTATATTAACAAATAAGCTAGGCAGACAGACAAATAGTGCATGGTATCACTTATATGTAGAATCTTTTTTAAAAAAGTTGAATACAGAAACAGTAGAAAAGTGGTTGCCAGGAACTTGGGGTGGGGCATAGGGAGAGGCTGGAAAAGGGCACAAACTTTCAGATATAAAGTATGAATAGGCCTGAGGACCTAGTGTATAACGTGACTCTGGTCAACAATGTACTATATTGTATAATTAAAATTTGCTAAGAGTAGAACTTGGATTCTCATAAAAAAGATAAATATATGAGGTGATGGATGTATTAACTTGGGAATGCTTTCACATTGTGTATGTATATGAAATCACATTGTACACTTCAAATATAATTTTGTCCTTTATACCTTCATGAAGTTGAAATTTTTAAAAAAGTAGAGGGGAGAGAAAACTGTCAAATCATGCTGGTTGTTTATTATCTTGCACTCTTTCATATCTATTTACCAGTTGAATTTTAATTTCTCCACTTCTATTGCTATTTTCAGGAAACTAAAATGATTGATTATAGATGTTAAAATATTTTGATGTTTTTCTCAATGTTATTTAATTTTTTAAAGTTAAGACTATTGAAAGACTTAGTCGGTTTTATAGACTTGTCACTAGCCTACCAACCTAAGAAAAACTATTTTTAAAACTTGTTTTATTGTTAAATATCATACACATAAAGGAAGATGTCTAAAACAAATGTATAGATTAATGAATTATTATAAAACAAACACCTAATAAGGTAATTTATTGAGATATCACAAGTCCATATGAAAATTAATGAAATAAATCAGTAAAATGGTGAGATGTCAACCAAAAACTATTTTAAATGTCAGAAAAAGGTAAAGCAACATTTATTTGTAGACTTTCATAAATGTAATGAAAATGGAAATATTTAAGTTTATCTAAAAATAATATGTTAAGATTTAGACATAAATATTATTTTGTAGTGCAAGTAGTGTGAAAATGACATTAAACAGCACCATTATTATGTTATGATAACAGATTTATTTGGATTATGTAGCAGGTCCTTTGGGCAGAAGTTGAAATTTTGACTTTTGTATAGTACTTAGGGTATTGTTGGCACAATTTACTGTTTCTGTGGATATCACTTATTACAAAATGTGGCTGTCTAATAGTTCAAAAATTCAGAGATCTTCTGGATTGTTTTATAGTTTATGAGCAACTGCCCAAAGCTGGATGGATAGCTGAACACAGGTCATGCACTTCGTTATTCATAACTTTCATGTTAGAGCTGCAGTCGGCCCTTGGACAGTGTGGGTTTAAGATTGCCAATCCCCACACAGTTGAAAATCCACATGTAGCTTTTGACTTCCCCAAAACTTTTGTTCCCTAAAGTTTTGCTCAAGTCCCTTATATAAAATGGCGTAGAACAGTGTGTACAGTTGGCCCTCCACACCATGGATTCCCAGCCACAGATACGTGGTTGGTTGAATTTGCCAATGCAAAACCTGGGGATACAAAGGACTGACAGTATGTTTATTGAAAAAATTTGCATATAAGTGGACCCATGCTGTTTAAACCCACATTGTTCAACCGTCAGCTGTCTTTACCAGAGTTTCTCACTAAATTTATTTTTAAATTGTTTGAAAAATGGTCTCTAATTTATTGAGATTGGGGGTAGGGGCTGACTTTGATTGCAACATTTAAAAATCGAAAAACTTAAAATGAATCTAAACTTTTAATTCAAAAAGTACTCTTGGAGGACAGGAATGCCTTCAAGCAGGAGAGAATAAATTACTACTTATTTTAAAGGCTGAAATAAAGCACTGGAAACGCACTCAACTTTTTAGTGATGAAAACTTTTCAAGTAAATGAAGCTTTTTTCCTCCTGTTTCCTTTATTGCCATGCTGTGAGTCATTCTTCTTCCTGAGAACTAATATGTAGTACATTTTCAGGAAAATTTGCTTTTTAAAAGAAAATAAAAGTGTTGTAAATTCAGAGCTGTACATTGTTCATTTCTGTAGTGAGCGCATGTAACGAAAGGATGTCTGCCCTTCCTTTCCAAAGCATACACTCAGGCTGTACTTGAGCCAGTCTAATGCCCTATTTATAATTTTCCCCTCCAGGAGCTACAATTGGAACATGCAAGACAAGCCTTCGCGCTCAAAGACAAAAGCAAAAGCGGCATGATTTCTGGTCTGGATTTCAGTGACATCATGGTCACCATTCGGTCTCACATGCTCACTCCTTTTGTGGAGGAGAACCTAGTTTCAGTAAGTGCGAGCCAGTACTTCAGCAGTCTGTTTCCTTGGACCTTTCGAATCACAGGGTCCTGGATTGCCTCCCTGGGCCCACTTGACTCTCAACTATTCTAACTTTATGTTTGGTTGGTAGAAGGTAAACGGATGTGTGTAAGGAAGGTAGGAGTGATGGTGAATAGTCTTTCCCGATCACAGCAGAGCCACCATATTGCTCTCAGATATTTCCAAATTGTTTATTTCTGTTTACACGGTCCAACTACAGAATACAAGGGAGTTTGTAGACAAGGGCGTGCAATTACTTTTTCCAGTGGGCAGTACCTCTTCTTTTTCCATCTTCCGGGCTCGCAAAGCCTTGCTATAAGGATGGCTCCTTCCTTTGTTGCCTGCAGGGTGCTGTTTGCTAGAGGAATCCTCATTGGCCTCTACTCTGTGTTAATACCCATGGCCGTGGCAGAAGGTATGGGGGAAATGTGTGGGTATCAGCCTCGGTGGCTCACTCTTCTCTCTGCCCCTTTACCAGTGCATCGGTCTGCATGGACCAGATAGTTTTTTGTTCTGTAAAAACTGCTAATTTCTATAAAGTAATCATCTGGACCAATAGCACACTGATGTCATCCACTTCCTCACAAAGAGAGGTGAAACTTTCCTCACTTCCCAGTTGTCTTGTTCATGCATTGTACTTATGTATAGGTTTTTGATTGCCGCTTGTTTTTAGTGGAGGGAAGCCAATGAGTGCTTTTGTTGTTTCAGCTGAAGATCATTATCCCTGATTTAGACTGGGGTAGAAAGATCAACTTCTGTTCTTTCTCTTCACTGAATTTGAACATGGAGCATGTCACTTTCTCCTATACATTTCACCTCCTTGACACCCATCTCCCACTCCCTTACCCTCACCTCATACCCCAGTCTAAAAATGAAAGGAAGGATGGAAGGAAAGAAAGGGATAGAGGGAGGGAAGAAGGAGGCAAAGAAAGAAAATCGTAGGGAGAAGGTCTCATTGAGTGCCTTACAGTGAAAGAACCCACTTAATCTTTTCCATTTATGTTAGATAGACCTATTATAGCCTTAGTTTACTAAACACCATTTAAGTCCCTGGAGGAATATATTAAATAATTTGCTTTTGGGTCACTGGTATCCAAATTCAGGCTAATACTAATATCACCTATATTTGGGTTAAGGCATATGTGTGAGGGGTGGTGGGAGTGGTTACAGACCTTCATTATTAAGACTGTCACACTGATGTTTCCTTAAGTATTTCTTTGAGTTTTTAATAGAGAATGTTTTCAATCATATGGGTTCCTCTGACTCCTAACTTAGAAATTAGGATTTTGCATACTTTAAAAAACACTCGTTTTTGAGTTTATGGTCAAGTGGTGGACAGAGGGAGAAATTACCTCCTCACACTGCAGAGGTAATGAAGGTCGCCTTGCCTCCATCCATCCCAGCATGAGAGCCTCTTTATGGTGAATAAATCCTCTCTAGTTTTCTCTACATTTTTTTGGAGTTTTGGGTAGTTGTCTTTCATGGTACAGATTCAGAGCCCAGCACAAACTGTTAAATATCTTAATGATAACAATGGCCTTAATAAAATAAAGACTAGGAAGTTTTATATAGTTTTAAAATTTAAAGTTACCACTGTTTTTTGTACATGTGTTTGAACAAAAAGCAGGTTTTTAAAATGTTCCTTACAGTGTAATATTGATGTTTGGATTATCCAGAACTAGCAGGAGTTCCATAGTAGAGGAACAGGTCTTGAAAATCCTGTTTAAATAACTATTGTTTTTGATCTATGATAATTATATTTGTTGTTTCTGACCTTATAGGTAGATGAACCATGAAGTCCAACTTCCAGATGTTGCTTTCTTCCTTAAAACCTAAATTACATAGACCTCCCTGAGGGCATGAAAGGCACTGAGTGTTTCAGTACCAAACGTTTCTTGTATTTATGAACTGGTTGTTAATCATTTTAATAATGAAGAGCCCTTTGGATATTCTTTGAGACAAGTGCAGTGTCCATAAACATGTTTTTTTGTTTTTGTTTTTTGACTTTTTGTATTGTGATTTCCTAGGCAGCTGGAGGAAGTATCTCACATCAGGTTAGCTTCTCCTACTTCAATGCGTTTAACTCCTTGCTGAACAACATGGAGCTTGTTCGTAAGATATACAGCACTCTAGCTGGCACAAGAAAAGATGTGGAAGTCACAAAAGGTAAGACTTTAAATATATATATTGATTTGAACCTCAGCATTTTCACTTTTCTTTATCTGGGACATGAGGCTGATCTAAGTTTACCATTCTGAAGTCAGATCTAGAAAGTATGTTGCCATGTGTATATGCTTCACTTGGGCCATAATGGTCTCCAAAAATCCAGGTGGATTTAATGGGATGCTGAGGTCAGGAATGGAAAAGTGGCTTTGACAGTTTTGAAAAGAACCTTGGCCCAATCTGTCAAACAGGTCAGTGGCACTGTGGCAGCAGCTTGTTTGTACTAGGAAGGAGTTGCCACAGAGAGAAGGGCAAGTTCACGCCTTTTGCTGAATTGTAGTAGGATGTCTTAGGTGACTGGAGAACAGCCAGTTCTTTTATTTTGTAACTCTGAAGATCAAGCGAATAAACACAGTTAAGAGGATTCTAAATTGATTGTTTTATCTTTGAAGTTAATTTATCTGTTTTTGCTGTTTCATCATCGTAACATTTTCTGTTGCTAGCTTTCAGAATTTTGTAATTATTCTTATATAGTTTAACTTGGGTATTTAAATTGTTTTAGATTTTAAAAATAATACGAAAATGCTTTGAGCTTGTGGATTATAGTTGGTTAAGGTAGAAGTTTGTTGTATATTAAGAATCTTTCAAGATTTGAAAATATTTTTTTTCTTCCAGAGGAATTTTCCCAGAATGCAATACGCTATGGACAAGTTACTCCACTAGAAATTGATATCCTATACCAGCTTGCAGACTTATATAATGCTACAGGGTAACTATTCCCATAGTTATTCATGATATTTATTAACAGGACAGTTCTTTTAACATGTGAAGCAGTGGTGTGCTTTAAGTTTATTCTTTTTCTTTTCCATCCTCACCTGAGGATATTTTTTTCCATTGCTTTTCAGAGAGAGTGGAAGGGAGACCGAGAGAGAGCTATGAGAGAGACACATTGATTGGTTGCCTTCTGTATGCCCCCCGAAAAGGCCCAGGATCGAGCCTGCAACCGAGGTACATGACCTCGGCCGGAATCGAACCTGGGACCCTTCAATCCTTGGGCTGATGCTCTCACCACTGAGCCAAACCAGCCAGGGTTCAGTTTATTTTAATAGTTTATTTAGTTTATAAATTTCAAGAAAGAGAGCCAGTCAGATATGAGAAATGGCATGAGGGAGAGACAGAGGAAGATAGGCTAAAGGTAGGGGGAGATGGAGGAAGGGAAAGAGAGAGAGAACAAGAGGTTAAAAGAGAGAGGAGAGGAAGCAAAAGGGAGGGCAGGGATGGAAAGAGTGAGGTAAGAAAAGGGAGTAAAGAGTTGTTGAGGGCCGTGACAGAGAAATGGGGAAAGGAAGAAAAAAGAGAGAGAGAAGGGGATAGAAGTTATAAGTAAGAGAGGCATGGAAAAAACTGGTTTAATCTGGACTCTCTGGAGGGTGTTAGGAATTTTAAGAGATTTATGGAAATGTGCCTAAAGTAAACAGGGGTACATGTTCAGGAAAATTATGATCTTTTGATTCATTGTGAACGGTCATCTGGTAAACAGTATGTACCATCTTGTGTTGGAGAGTATTGTTTTCTTAGAACATGCCTGTGGCATTATATTCATACCATCACATACAAGTTCAAATGTTCTATGCCTCTATTTTACAGACTAAAAAAACCCCAAAGCACATAGAGAATATTTAATTTGTAGTCTTTTGCAAATCCAAAAGAAAAACTCTTATCTGTGGGCACCCAGCAGGACCTGTTGGATAGGGGACTTATTATCTATTAAGTGACCAGATTTTTTTTTTAGTTGCCTCCAGTAGTTAAGTGTAGGAATATCTGAAAAATGGGTTTTAACCCTAGAACCAAGGACTAATAGAAGTTGAGTGTACTTGGTTAATTCATTGCCTTCATGCTGCATAATGAATTGCTGAGCAACAGATGATACTAAATATACCAGCCAGTCTTTGGTGATTGACATGTCTCATTCATTTGGAATTCACATTTTATCTATCATTGAAGTCTTACTAAATTTGTATACTCCACATGACTTCTCTGCAATCTTTTGCCTTTTGTTGTGGCAAGCAGGGTCTGAAGTTCTTTCTATGATCTCTGTGAATAGAGAAGTGCTATTTTTAAGCCATAGTTTTCCCACCCCCCTTTCTCTTTTCTGAAGAAAGATGAACTTAGTTTGAGGAGTTTGTTGGTATCTAACAGTTCTTCCTTTTCCATATTTTTGCCTGAAGGCGCTTGACTTTGGCAGATATTGAGAGAATAGCCCCGTTGGCTGAGGGGGCCTTACCTTACAACCTGGCGGAACTTCAGAGACAGGTAGGTGTCTCGTAAATAGAATTTCCTTTAAAAATGCTGGAATAGTATGTATGTTACAGCCTAGAGCTTCTGAATGATGGAATTTAAAAACTGCTTTCCAGAAAGAGACTTTACTTAGTTCAAAGATTATCTTTATAGAACTGCTACCCCCACCCTCATAGGGTATTTTTATGGAATAACTAGATTTATGTTTGTGGCTTGTCTTCTAACTTATTAATGTAAGGAAAATAAGAGTGCAAACATATATGGGCTTGCCTTCTCCCTAGAGCAGTCTTAATTTGTCTAGTCACATTTAAAGTTTAGTGTTAAGTTCACTTTTTATCGTTAAACTGATATTTATAGGGTTTTCAAAATACAAAACATTCCCCTAATAAATCTTTCACTGAGATTATATCTTATAGATTACAGCAGTAGCACAGGAAAACTATCTACTAATGAATTAGAGAGAAAACCTTGATTGTCACATTTTTGATAAAATATTAGTGTTTTTTTAAATGTTAAGGATGATTAAATCAATAGCTTTTGAGTCCTTTAAAGTTAATACAGCCCCATTTCTGATTTCAAAAATACTATCTTAGGAAAATAAACCCCATGATGTTACTTACCTTGGCAAGTGAAATGGAACATTTTTTTTTTTTTTAAATCTTGTTTTAAACTGAAACCCCTCCTTCCGTAGCACTTGGAGGAAGCCTCAGTTGTTGCAATGGTCACATGGCTTTGTGTGGGGAGTGAGGGTTAGGAGGGCTATTGGCTTGTCCTCTTGGTATTTCCCTGCTCTAACAGACACGAGACCTGTGTCCCTCATGATTCTTTAGGGATACCCTATGAGGCTAGGAGACATGGGGAGAAGGGAGAAAATACCAAAGACAAGGAATGAACAAGAGAGTAAAAAAGCTGAATGGGCATGCTACAGAAAGAGCCTGAGTCTACCTTCTCTTTATTGCTGCCACTCTGGTGGAATAGCCAGATGTGCTAGTGAAAGGTCAAGGCATATAAATGGGTGGTCCTTTGGAAGTTTGGCAGGAAATCTTACTTCTATTTGAGCTCCATGAAATGATGATTCTGCCTCTGAAATGAATTAGAATATCCAGATCTACTTTACGTAATAAACAAGAACTTTTATATTCTGCTAAGAAAATTGAAGATAAAAAATATTTCTTTTATATCTACATTTTATGCTAATACTTTGTTTGCTTGGTGTGTAATAGAGCCTCCTGCAGATTAAAATATATCCATAACCCATTGCAATTTAGCTTTTTTAGTAGCAAAAAAACTCTTATCTGCTGCTGTCGAAATTTATTTCTAAGTTCTCAGATCCTTTAAAAATAGATGGGTTTATTCCAGTTTATTGATTTATAATAAAATCATTAAAATTTAAAGCATATTGAAGTATTTAAGTAAAAGAGCTCTTATTGAATTTAATTTTATATTTTGTAGTGTACATTTATAAAACTTTGTTCTTGAAATTTGAAAAATTGCATTTCAAAAGGAGCTATTTTTCAGTGCTACATGTCTATTAATATAGCCTTCTCTGGGGGCATCCTTATATTTATAATTGTGGAATATTTCATTTAGCTTATTAAAGACAATGTAATGAATTTAAAAGTCTCAACTCATTTTCTCCTTTCTCTTACTTTTCATTTTACCTGACTCTTTTGCCCCTAGCAATTGTCCTACAAGTAGTATCTGAAAGTAGTTTTTGTAATCTTTGGTGCCCTAATTCTACCTTCCTCATATTTCTTAGTCCTTAGGAAGGTGATGTAATTCAGCTTTTGGTGTAAATTTTCTTGTAGACAGATTCGAAGATGATTTCCCTGCCTTCTGTGGGCAGCGCTGATGCTCTTAATGCTGGTACGATGTCAGATACTTACTTAGCAAGTGGGTAGTGATAAAAATCACCGCTTTCTCCTCTTTCCCTGGGTTTCCGATTGGCATCCAGAGTGGTGCTGGAGTGCCTGCTCTCCCTTTTCTTTCACCAGTGGGGTGGCACTGGGATCTGCAGTCTCCTGAGAGCAGGCTGAGCTCCTGGGTATTCTCGCGTGGCCCCCAAAGGAAGACCCCAGCGCCTGCATTGGTTGTTTTTCCTCTCACAGATCAGCCAGGTTGGGTAGCCTTATTGCTGAAGGTTGGGAATAGAAAAATAGAAATGAGGATTTCAAATCTGTTATTTCAAATCTGTTATTTTCCCTGTAAATTATTGTAAAAACACCTCCTAAAGAGTAAAACAGTAGAAGTCGTAATTTTTAGAATTTTATAAACATAGATTTATGAAGATTGTTTAAGAGGGATTCAAATTAATGTCCCTACTTACATACATTGTGAAATCTGGCCTTGACTTTTCTTGGGATCTGGTACATGTTTCTGTGGGCCTCAGTTTCTCCTTTAGTAAAATGAGTACTCCAAGTATTTACACAATTTCTTCAAACCCCTGCATTCTGCAAAAATAGTGTGAATCAATAGATTTTAATTTAATTTTCTAAATTCTAAATGACAGTATCCTCCTTTTTTCTTGTAGCATGAAAAACTTTTTAAGGAATAAAGGCTGGGATCCAAATAGAATGATAGAAAACTATGCCTAAGTTCTTACAGCAACCAAAGTAACAAACCTACAATTTTCAGTATAGAAAAAACGTTTTTCAGTTAACATCTTTTAGATTTTTGAAGCATTCTAAGGCCACCATGTAGACTACAAATGCAATGACTTAGTTTTTTCAATTCTCGAGACCACAGAATTACAGTAATGCTAACCGTAGCTATTTCCATGTCACTTCCCGAAGACATTTTTGATTCTTTTATAATTTTTCCTGTATTGCCAAACTAGAAATACATAAATTGTTTACATTTCATATATAGAATGTTCCCCTATAGGAATGTACTTGAAACTTAGATATTAAATAGGAGGGATGGCATGTTTTGTTGTCATCTCAACTTATGGAAGTGGTTGTTAGAACACATGTGCGTGACAGAGAACCTGTGAGCTCAGAAACAGAAGGGAAGTTAACGGGTTAAGAACTTGGGCACTGATTATGTATCAAATGTCCTTTCTCAGTGTCCTCATTTATTAAATAAAGAGAGTAGTATCCATCTGATAGGGTCGTTGTGAGAATTACACGAAACAATGCACTTAAATTAGGCCTGGCACCTACTATGCAAGCAATGCATGTTAACTGCCATTATTGCTGTGGTTGTTACTGTTGTTGACTATAAAAAGCCTATCTGAGCACACTCCAAGTTGGGCTCAAATATACATGACACAACTTTTTTATCCACCCTCTTTCATTTTCTTTCCTTAGGTGGAGTGGGATGGGGAAGTGAAGAATTGTGTCTTTATATTTTCTTCTTTATTGCTTGGATTGTTTTACTTAATTTTTTTGTGTGTGCTGGCTGAAATTCTATGTTACATTTAAAAAAATTTTAATTGATGGGGGAAAAAAGACTTCAGCTTTTCCTTCCTTTTCTTCTATCCATTAATAGCATGCCATTTGGAAGAGGCAGTTCTCTTTATTGGATTGGCATACTACATGAAGCAGCTTGGTTTGGGCAGGTTCCTTGACTTGTTAACCGACGTGATCTTGTCTTATCCAATTCTCATTTATAGGACAAGAATACATTTAACAACAGAAGCAAAAGAACTTTCTCTTCTCCAAATGAGATCTCAAGTCATTTCCTATTATATGCATATGCTTAGGGTACAGGTTAAAAATCATTTCAGATGCTCTCTTTTTTATTTCAAGATGTTCCACTCTGATTTTGCTTTGAAAAACAATTAATCTTGTTAAAATATCACCTTCATGATCATAATCATAACCTTAAGGGAAAGAGTGCCTTTTCCTTTGGCCCATTTGCTCACGGTAGGCAATCTTCTTAGTGCTAAGTATTTTCTTTTAGCCTGAATGCTAAAAATTCCATACACAATCATTAATAGGGATGACAGCTACAGTAGCATTCTACTTATGAATATTCATGATGTGAAATCCATAGCATTAATTACATTAATTTACATACCCGAATACAAGTGAACCGTAAGTTATAGTGATAGCTGAGCCTAAAAAAGAATCCTTAGTAACCATATAGTGTTGTTGTGTGTTTTTTAAAAAAATAAGGGCTATTTAATAAGGGCGGAGGCAACGTTTCTTTCAAAAGGCATTTGGGCATTTATAGTTAGAGATGTTTTTAGCTAAGAGTTAAAGCACAGCATAATCCTTCAGTTTTTATAGGATTTTGTAGGGCTTATAAACGTTCTTTAAAGGAAGAGAGTATAAAGAAAACATGTGGTTGAATACAGGAGAAACCGTTTATATGAATAAGGGAATTAGTGGTTACTTGACTCTTATTTGAGATTACAGCCCTTTTATTCTATGAGTTTTAATTCAACATATTCTTTTGAGAGGAGACATGATTGAAAATAATTCAGAGTATATTAGAAGGAGGTTTATGCTCACCCAGTTTTGTGATTGAGAAATTCTAATTTTGGAAAAAAGTTTTATGTGCATGTTTTTAGAAGTTAAAAACATATGCTATATGTTTAATAAGTAGCATAACAACCACATTGATTTTAAAATATTTTAAAATCTGTCAAAATGTTATAAATTGAGTTTCTTCAAACTATGTGATATTAAACATCATCTTTACCTTGAAGATACAGACTGCCTTTGTTTTCAACTATTTTGTTTTTGAAACAGAGTGTTAGAATTAACTGGTTAGCTTCACTGTGTTTAATCAACACTTAAAAAACTAACTGAAGCACATGCAGTCAATATAATACTTTAAAGTACCAAAAGGTTTTTAAATTAATAAATGAAAAATAAAATTTTAAAAATCATTTTATTTCACCTCATTCTTTTAGAATTTCTATTTTGTATGTTTGAAATATATACAGTATATCATATGTAATTTTATAATAATATATATATATATAATTAGTACAGTGGAACATGCATATAATTTATAAATGAAACCATAATTGGGGTTAGGTATTTAAAATCTTTTCCTGGCAGGAGTGTTCAATAAAAACCAGTTGTTGGAGACTGTTGACTTAAAGAATGATGGAGAATGCAGTGGAGTGACCAGGGCCATCGCTCTACTTATTCCCCATCTCACAGTGAGCCTTTTGCCAAGTCACCTGTCCTGTCCATAGTATGGCCTTTTTACCTTTGAATGTACAATGAACTGATTGACAAAATAGTATAGTGTGGTCTCACAAGGGAGTTTACTTGCAGGAGATTGAGAATCATTGGACCCTGAGGGCTGCATTAGGCACAGGTCCCGAGTGCTTTGTAATGTACTCTATAATAGCAAATCTCTAAACAGTCTAAAATTAGTATTATTATTATAGTAATAAACAGAACAAAGAGTAATCTATTTGGATGGCACATTTTTTGCTGTTCTTTGAATGAATCAAAATTAGGCTTATATTCAAGGTTTTGTTAAAATAGTCTACTCTTTTCCATATTAGATTCCAAATGAAAATATCAATCTCATTGTTAATTGCTCACATTTGTTACAGCATATAAGTCAAACATAATGGCTCTACAGTTGCTTGGGTTAACTTGATAGGAAAAAATGTATTTCCTACAAGATCATGATTATGTCCTACTATGTGTAATTTTCCACCTTTTTAATGATGGCTTCTTCCATTAATTAAATTCAGCTTTGGATGTGACAGATATATGCTTTCACTTAATTGGATATGAGGTTGATATATTGTGATAGTTGAGATTTATAAAATATGTAGGGATATTATTTGAAGTAATGATATTTTACTACTTGCCAGATTTTCTAAGGGCTTCATCTTTTTCATCAAACATTACTAATTTTCTTTTTTACTATAGAATTTATTGAACCACAATACCATGGCCAACATAATGATCTATGTACAGAGATCACAAACGTTAAATATTTAGGTATCAGATTCTTTGATTAAAACAGAAATGATTCTTATTGTAGTGTAAAGTTTACAAAACAGGAAGGCAGATAAAACCTTTCTATAGGCTATTTCCCAATTTTTTTGCAAGTATCTGGTTTTGCTATATTTAGCTTGATTAACTGAGTGTTGAAGAGATTGTACAGATGAAAGCAAATCAGAGTAGACTAGCTTACTTTTTCCTTCTTCTAGATTTTAGGCATGGATTCCTTCTCCACTAAATTATTCTAATGAGAGTATCTATACTTTTTATTGTGCTGTTTTTAAAAGCTCATTTCAAGTTTATGTTTTTCAAGTTTTCTTTATGATAAAGTGAGTATTGTATTTCTTCACTTCAGACTGTTCAATAACTCCTATTTCAGAATGAAAATATTAAAGAACAAGACTGATGCACTAATACAGACAAATTATTTTAGATTCTTTATGCTATAGGATACCTATGAAATAACATTCTGAATCACAATAGGATTTTTCCCTTTGCATCACTATCATTGTAGATTTTATGTTAGAACTGTAAATGTGGTTAGGACAGTGGTTCTCAACCTGGCTACATAGCAGAATAATTTGAAACCTTTAAAAAATATATAAGCTTCAGACCCCAGGGAGTTATTTTTTTAAAGCCCCTTAGGTGTTTTCTTTGTATAGGTAGAGTTGAGGAATACATAGGTCTAGGAGAGCAAATGCTTGAAAGCCAAGGTCAGAAATAGCGCACTTAACTAATGATAGCCTCAGTGGTGGTTGAGCGGCAAAGCCAGAAATAAGACTCTGACCCAAGAAATAGTAGTTATTAAAAGGTTTTTACTTTATCCCGAAAGAGAAGCCCTTGACAGTGCTTTACATGTAATCCTAACAATCCTAGTTATGTGGTTTCTCCAGCCCTAATAGATGAGAGGTGGCAAAATCAAAGTAGGAAGCTGTTGGGAGAGGAGGTAATAGCCGTCAGGCATGGGAAGGTAGCACAGACGGCTGCATCAGGTCTTGACGCAGTAACTAATGGACATGTGAATGTGATGACCTCCGGGCATTAGAGGTGGTAGATTATGATTGATATTCCCTGATCTACGGATCAAGATAGTTTTTTTACATTTTAGAAAGATTTTTAATTTTTAAGTAGGTTAATGTAAAGAAGGGGGGAAAGATGTTATACCTGAAATGTTTATTCACTTCAGTAAAATGATAGTGTATTCCTTAATAGCAGCAGATAAATGAGGCATTAAAATTAGGTTTTTAAAAAAATGGGAAAGATGCCACTGTGTCTGTCTGGCTCTGCTTTTTCAATGCCAGTAATAGAGGTATACATTTTAAAATTTTAAAATAGTCATTGTAGCTTTTTGGTTTGCTGTATGCTTTTCCATTTTTTTTTTTTTTTTTACATGTTTTCTTCTACCCCACAGCAATCTCATGGTTTAGGCAGGTCTGTCTGGCTCCAGATTGCCGAGTCTGCTTACAGATTCACTCTGGGCTCAGTTGCTGGAGGTGAGTGATGTGTCTGTGTGCTGTTTCAAGCTTGTGATCATGTAATATTATCTCACTAGACCAGGACAGATCAGCAAAAGTGCAGTTCATTGTTCCCGCGGGTCACGGCTGCAGGGCTTTCTGAAACACTTTTTATTTTTTTACCTCTGATCAGAGGACTTGTCATAGCATGGCCACGGCCCCTTTGGCTCCAGTCTGTCTTTAGGACAAAAACTCTGTCATGATGTGAAAGTCTTGGATGCAGTGCTGCACTCACCTTAATTATACTGGTTAAAGCCGGTACAAAGCAATGGAGAATGACTGTGTTTATAGTGCTTGGGGTGAGGAGAGGTAGGAAATCAAGTTTTGGGGTACAAATCTCAGAACCTTACAAAATAAAAAAACCTCTCAAAGTGACTCACTGCTGTTTCCCTGCTTGTGTTTTCTCTCTTCCCTTTCACTGGCTGAGGAGTATCTGGAATTGTAGGCTATTGGCTAAAATGAACCTACCCCACCCCTGCTTCTGGGCAAAATTTAAGATTTTTTTCCCCCTGCTTAAATCTCTGCGTAGAAAAAGTGTAGAATCTGAAATTGCTTTGATGAGAAGAACCTAGCAAGTGTGATTAAAATACTTATGATTTTTCAAAACAAGCCTGAACTGATGAAACTATTATATTTTCTTTTCAGTCTCAGTTTTAGAAGTTGCAAAACATGTTTTGATTTTCAACAGTTGAAAAATATAATAATCTAGTTCATGTTATAAGTTTTTTAGTCCCTGAGAAATCCGAAGCCTGGCCTTTTTTTTTTTTAAACTGAATTCTGTACATAGGGTTAGGATTGTATTGAGATTTGGTTTCAATATTATGGTTGTAACTAAGGTTAATAAACCAAAATGCTTTAGTAAACTAAAATTTTAAATTACAGTCACCTATGTGCACAAATATAGTCATTTTAAGTAACTGGTATACTTTTTAGGCATTTAATGGAAAATTTGAAGACATGTTATTTTAAAAAATATGTTTAATAGTTTAATGTTGTAGAAAATGGAGTGTTGATTATCTGATGTTGGTGATGACTTGGACACCCACTGCCATTGTTCTTTGAAGCAGCTGGATTTATGGATCCAGTGGTTGCTGGCCTGTCATGGTTCAGCTGTGTATGGGAGAAGGAAAAATAACAATGTCTCTTTTGTGAGAAAAGATACCGTTTTATTTTCTAGTCTTTTGAGATGAGATTTGTTGTCCTTATAGATTCTCCATTTAATTGTGCTCTCTTTTAAGCCTCAAAATTATTTTATTTGTAGCTGTGGGAGCCACTGCAGTATATCCTATAGATCTGGTGAAGACCCGCATGCAAAACCAGCGTGGCACTGGCTCTGTGGTGGGAGAGCTGATGTACAAAAACAGCTTTGACTGTTTTAAGAAAGTCTTGCGTTATGAGGGCTTCTTTGGACTCTACCGGGGTGAGTAAGCAGATCTCAGCTGCTGAAGTTAGCGATTTTTATCTCACCAGCAGCAGATTTTAACTCGCTCATTATGAAAACCAATGTGTAGCCTGCGCAGTCAGACTAGGGCTGTTTCTTTCTTTTTCTATTCTCATTGCTTGTTTCCCTTTTTATATTCTTGCTGGTAACTAGCAATATTAGTCTGCAAACAAGGTCTTTATTTCTTCTTCCTGCTATTCATATTTCTTGGAATCCAAATCCTGTGTTTGTCCTACCGTGGGTCTGTGGTCACCGTGCTTTACAAACTAAGGCATATGTCTGCAGGTGGAATTTAGTGGCGACAGCTAAGAAATAGAGAGCGTTTTTTTCTCAAAGAATTAGAGAGGAGAAATACACCTCTTCTCTGTGAAATACTATAGAAGCCAGGCTGCCACTTGAAGGTAAGTTTACCCTCTACCCACTTGTTTCAACTGAAAGAAATATCAGATGTTTTGGTCTCTTCCATGGAGACCATTCATAAGTCTTTTCCACTGAGTCATCTGAAGTTTAACAAAAAAGAAAAGAAAACCTTTTGGCTCCAATTCTCATTCTTGCTCCTTTCCTCCCCTTAGTTCAGAGGCACTGAGTGAAAGTAGAGAGAGTTTCTTTTGCAGGAAATGTTACCACCACCTCTAGGCTAAGCACGGTGCTGTTGGCCTAGAGGCAGCAGCCCCATGCAGAATTCTCTCCACCCCCATTGGCTTTGTAGGGACTTGTTCTCTTTGGAGAGGGAAGGACTTTCATGTACATGTTTTCACATTAGAATTTAGGGTTTCCTTTGGGAAGGAGATTAATTTTTTAATCCCTTTGGGCGCCACTTGGAATTCTTTGAAAATACTCTCTACATGTTTAAGTCCAGGGCATTTATGTAATTTACTGTACTTGTTTGTTTGCACACACAGTCTCATTAATCCCTAGCTCATTCTGAGCTCTGTTGAACTGTTTGGCTTAGAACCTCTTCCTTGGAAAGAGAGATCGGGCCTGAACAAAGCTTTATGCTCATGGCCAGGAGAAAAAAACACCTCTGGTTAACATCATGTACAGACTTTCAGTGAAAAGTCTACCTCTGATATACTTACGTGTGAAACAGAGGGTCATGAGGATGTTCATTTCTGGCACTATACATAGAATGAGAGAAGAGAGTGGTCTGAAATCAAACTGGGTTCAAACACCCTGCTCCTTAGAATGAATTAATTAATACATCTCTCTCAAATGAAATCAAATATTCAAACCTCTAGCCTCTTTAAATTCTCAATGTACAGCACGTGTTCAGTGGAAGACTTGTGCATTATCTGGAATCCAGATCAGTGCATGCAAATGCTTGTTTTAAATGGTCTTAAACCCTGCACACGTAGATTTTATTTAATACGGAATCTGAGGGTTGAATGGTACTTAAGTTGTTTTCTTCTTTGACATTTCCAATCTTTTTTTTGTTGAATAATGATCTTTTTTCCTCCTTGGTATACTTATAAAGAGAATGTTCTGTATTAGAAGGAACCTAGATATATATTAACAGTTTAGCTTTCTCAATGGATGGATGCTTACAGAAGATTTCATTTGAGAGAGATGTTGTATTAATTAAATGGGTCAGATATAGCAAGTTGTATGGGGGAGGAGGCAGAGGGAATGTTAGTTTTATTCAAGATTTGAGCTGATAAAATCGGTCCTTTAAATGAGAGACTCTTGTATGTGGGAGAAGATTGTAGGAATCCTGTATGTGAACACTATGATTATTGAGATTGTCATATATTGCTTAGAACTGGTCCATTATTCTGTCAGATGATTGACAAAATTGTTGACAGATTAGCCTAAATTTCTTGGCAGGCAACAATGATAAAATGACATAAATCAGTACTTTATTAAAATTCCATGGGCCTTATTGAGGCTAGTTGTAAAACAAATACACATGCTGACATAGCTGTATGGGAGTTAGACGAAAAATAGTAGGGCCTGGTAATCATGAGGGTTAGAAAGTTAAGACTGCCATCTGCTGATTTATTCTTTTAAATCAGTCTGCGATCCATTAAAGGTGTGTTCAGATTTGTATTTGTCATAGATAATTCAGTTTGACTGACAGTAGCCTGTATATGTGATTACTTGCTGGCTCTCAACTCATAGAAAATCACTCAGCAGTGTCCTCAAAGTAGGCTTAAGATCAGCAGTGAGCATGCAAACATACATAACTACCCCTTGGCTGGGTGATTTAAAGGATATAAAATGTTTATTGTTAGCATCTTTAAAAATTTATGCAAAAAATGTATGCTAACAATTTGGGTAATCTGTGTGCTTTAGAAAGCTGAGCCCTATGAATATCTACAGATGTTGAATTGTTTATGTATTTTTTTTTCTTTTCTAGTTTGCAGCCAGCCTGGGAAATTTAACTTTCTAAGAATAATAATTTCCTTTGTTTTAAGAGGATTCTTTTGAAATGTCTTAAGTTTGACATATATTAGTAAATAAGAATACAGTAGGCATGTGTTTTTGCTTGTAGAAGATACCATTAAATGATACATAAGACTGTGTGTTTTTTCTGTGCAGTTTTGGCTTCCTTATAAATAAATGAGGACTGAATTCTGGGTTTCTCTAAAGAGAAAATTATGGGAGTTGGTATTCTATAATGACCAAGCCACTGCATGCTATTCCATAGGTAGCATGGTTTGTGGCAAAATCTGGGTCTACGTAACAGCTTTGCAGAGTTTTTCCAAACATGCAACACTGGCTTCTCTAAAGTGTCTGCGTGTATTTGTATGCCGTTGGTTGTAAAGGGAAGGAATTCAGTTACATTGTTGTTGGCAGTGTTCCAGGTATAGAGAAGATCCCGGGGCTCCATTCCTTCCTCACACACTTTTTGGGAGGTGTTAGATAACTAGGCTTTAAAGGAAGCATGCTTAAGAGAAGGATTTACAGCCTCAAGAAAGCATAACATTATATTTGACATAAATAATTATTATATACGTATATAGAGTTTTTAGGATAACCCATTTTTTCCCGTTTAATAAAAACCCTGACATGTTCTGTGGGTAAATACCATGGGGAAAGCCATTTCTTGTTGGGCTTGTTTATTCATGCCTAGCACGTCCGTATTGCTAACAGTTCTCTTCTTTTACCTAGGTCTGATACCACAGCTTATAGGGGTTGCTCCAGAAAAGGCCATTAAACTGACTGTAAGTTCTTCTTGTAAATTTATGCTGTCTGTCTAGATTATCATTAAGCCAAAGTGAAAACTGATGCTGCTGAGACGGGCACACTATCAAGGCACTTGTAAAATTTTAAATTTGTATGTAGACATTTGATAATTTTCCATTTTATCATGAGACAAATATTTTGCTGATTTAGAAAACCAATAACATGTTAGTAGAGGAAATTCTGGTTAACATGTTAATTCTGGTTAATTGATGTTCTCTTTCTAATTAGGTTAATGATTTTGTTCGGGACAAATTCACCAGAAGAGATGGCTCCATTCCACTTTTTGCAGAAGTCCTTGCTGGAGGTTGTGTACGTATTATTACTGGGCATTTCTTGTGGCAAATATGTTCCTTTAACTTTCTTGCACATTGGATATAATATCTGAGTGACATTCCCTCTAAACTCAAGGGATTCTAAGCAGATTTTCTCAGCAATCATATGGGATGACTTTTACATTTCATTGCATAATCTAACTGGTTTTGAGTGCAGAAAACAGGCAGTGTTTTGTCAGCTCAGTCTCTTAGAAGCTCCTGAAACATTTCTTTCCACACTTTTTAAAGTTCTAATTCTGATTCTTCTTCAATATCACAGTAAATGGTAGTAGTGGGTAGAGTTACCATACATTTATATTGACTGTTACTTTAAAATAAGTGTGAGATGATGGATTAATTGGGCCATTATATTTTAGGTGTAGGACTGAGTAAGCCACTGTGGTATAATTATAATTTTCCTTCTTTAGAGACCAGGGGATATAGCAAACAACCATACTATGTTGAGGCTGTTAACAGTTCTGAATGCAGAGGCCCAGATTATATTTACTTAGAGCACAAGAGTTTCTATCTGAAGTGTGAGCATGACCTTGGATTTAGACCAATTCTCAAATCTAAGTTTGCAGTTAAACTAATTTTATTTGTGGTGTTCATTTCACATTTAGTAATACAGTATGTGATTTAAGATGTATTTAGTCCATTTTGTCCCTGAAACCCGTAATAACTTCCAGTTGAATTAGCTGGAAGTCTTGGCTAAACCCTCCTCAGTTGCTTGTGGAACTTGAGGTGATGAGGTCGCTGACCTTTGTAGCTTTTAATTCAGTGAAGATGCCCTGAGGGTCAGAGATAGGCCGCTCTGGATTCTCCTTGATGAGATTTGTCAGCCAGGCACATACCTGGGTCCTCACCTTTCTGCAACCAAAGTTCTTGTGGAAGGGGTGGCCTGTGTGTGTGTGTGTGTGTGTGTGTCTGCCTCTACATGCCCAAGTGCATTCTTAGGAATAAAGCTCACTTCTTTTGCTGACTTTTTTCATGAAGGACAAGTGATAGACATAGAATAAGACCTTTGCTTAGGCAGATTGCCAAAAATGAAGTTTCTCTCTTCCTTTACTTCATTTAAATGCTGTAATTGTTTCTCTCCTAATGATGGAAGATTTGCAAATCATAAATATTCCTTTTCTCAGTGGTTTTAGTTTCAATTTGGTGAAGTTTCCTAAATCAGTTTTGCCACAGCACATGCATATATTTGCCAGAAATCTCCTAAATCATCCTCTCTTCCATGTAGCTAACTATTTCTGTTTTCATTTGTAATATCCAGAGGTTTTTTTGCCTATGAAACTGACCAGTTCCCATGTCTGACATGTGACCTCAGTGGTTAAACTATAATCAGATATTTGGTTCTTTAGTTCATCTTAGGTATGGACCCGTTTCTAGGTTTGAATTTAGGGAGTTTCTGTTGAAGTCTGGGGTGCTTTGAGGGTTGTACTGACACTCTAAATCTCATCCTCAGTCATGACTCATTTCTAGCAGCATTGATGGATTGTCCGGCTGGAAATGGGCAGCATGGAAAATAGGTTGCGCTGTGGGCAGAAGGATTAGGCCGCCTGCACTTCTTCACTGTGAATGTTTCCTGCTTCCCTCTTCCCCTCCCCTCTAAATCTCTTCATTCAGGGAGGAAAGCAAATGTGCTATTACTGAATTTCTACTGATGAATTCAATCACACTATAAGTGATTGTTAAAGCATAATCATCTATTTCTCCCAAAAGTTTATGTAATTCAACAGAAAATAAAGCCTTAAACAAAAAGGATGAATCTCTCTCTATAGAATATCAGGCACTGTGAAATAGAGGAATATTCTCTTTCCTGAATGAAACCTGGTAAGTGGTCACCAGATGAACACTGGGAAGAGCTGCTGCCCATGAGCCTGAGCGTGAGACCCTCACTATCCTGGGTGGTGCGGTGTCCCTGTGGGTGTTTGAATGCTGTCAGATGAGAAGAGTGCTTTTTCACAAATCACTCAGTTTTAAAGATGTGCTTAATGTGAACCTAATGCAGGTTAATTTGGAAGCAGTCGCTCAAACTGAGCAATATGTATTGTCTTTATAGGTTTTTTCCCCAGCAGGAGGACCAGCTAGGACCTGGGCTTTGAGTACCCTATGTATAGGAGGGAAATTGTGCTGGGAAAATGCCTGTGCTGCCCCTTAGGAAAAATGGTATGCATTGACTAGATCACAAAGTGACCAAGAAATACAACTATCCAGTCCTTAGGCATTATATGTTTTCTGTTGTTTTGTGATCTGTTTTCTAATGTAGGTGTTATTTGATACATGTAAAAGAGTACATAGTATATAGATATAAAGAGTAATAATAAAATGAGAATCTATGAACCTGCCACTCAACTAAAATATTACTGCTATCATTGACACTGGTTTTTGCTTTTAATGTAGCGCTAATCTGCTAGATTGCTAATGAGCAGTAGGGATTTTTCCTACTGGACGGAACATTTTGTAGGCATCATTTCATTGTTATTCCCAGCTAGAGGTGAAAAAAAATAAAACCTCAGTTGAGATCCAGGCAAGTTGAGATTCAAAACACTTTTTTCTCCAAATCCATATCCATATTTGGTATGTTTCCATTCATTCTTTCATTTATTCGCTCTCATTCAACAAGCTTTCAAGGCTGAGGAAGATTTAGAGTTTCTTCCTATGTAGGGAACCTGTCTTAGGGTGTGTTTATATCTCATGGAAAAAGAGTAGTTCCTGACCATTCTCACCAGATAAAAGTTAATCTTAAAGCTAATCATGTGGCAATTTGAAAGTAGAATTCCTTATAGTGATTTGCTTATTTCTGCATATCACCAGAGAAAATACATGCTTATGATTATAATTCATCATAGTCGCTACCATTTCTTGAGTATCTTGCACTGGACTGAACACTTCATAGGCATCATCTCATTATTCGTCCCAGCTAGAGCTGAGGAAATGGAACTCTCAGTGAAGTCCAGCACTCAGTAAATGGAAAAGCTGAGATGTGATCCGCTTCTGTCTCCAAATCCATATTCTTTTACTTGATATGTTTCCATTCATTCATTCTTTTATTTATTCATTCTTTCAATCAGTGAATGCCTTCTATATTTCAGGAAGAATTTTAAAATAACAGCTTTATTGAGGTATTATTCACATACCCTACAAATCCCCCCATTTAAAGTGTACAATTTAGCAGTTTTTAGTACATTCACAGAGTTATACAACTATCACCACAGTCAATTTTACAACATTTTTATCACCCCCCAAAGAAATCTGGTACCCTTTAGCTACAGCCCCCCATCTTCCCTTCTAGACTTCCAGCCAAGCCTTAGGCAACTACTAATAAACTCACCAATTCTGGACATTTCATATAAATGCAATCATACAACATGTGGCATTTTGTGTCTGGCTTCTTTCACTCAGCATAATGTTTTCAAGGTTCATCCATGTTTTAGTACATCTGAGTACTTCAGGCCTTTTTATTGCTGAGTAATACTCCATTATATGGATATACCATAATTTGTTTATTTATTCATCACTTGTTGAACGTTTGGGTTGTTTCCACTTTTGGGACATTAGGAATAATGTTCCTGGGAGCATTTATGTAAAACATTTTGTATGGACATGTTTTATTTTTCTTGGGTATATACCTAGGAGTAGAATTAGTGGGTCATATGGTAACTCTAATTAGTATTTTGAGGAACTGCCAGACTGTTTTTCAAAGTGGATACACCATTTTACATTCCTACCAGCAACGCCTGAGGATTCTGATTTCTCCGCACCCTTGCCAATACTTGTTATTATCTGTCTTTTCATTATAGTCACCGTAGTGGGTGTGAAGTGGTATCTTACTGTGATCTAGTGATTAGACAGTGTTGGACATCTTTTCATGCATATGGCATTTATCTGTCTGCATCTATTTTCTTTGGAGAAATGTATGCAGAATCTTTGCCTATTTTTTAAAAATTTTACCTTTATTATTGAAAGTATTACAGATATCCTCTTTTTTTCCCCATCAACCCCTTCTACCCTGCACCTGCCCCCTCGCCCCAGATCTTTGCCCATTGTTAATTGAGTTGTTTGTCTTTTAATATGGAGTTATAAGATTTCTTTATATATCTAGAGTCCCATATCAGATGTGTTTTTTGCAAATATTTTGCACTTTCTTGATTCCCCTTTGACAAATTGGACTTTGATTTAAATGAAGTCTAATTTATCTATATTTTCTTTTGTTATTTGAGCTTTTGGTGTTACAGCTAAGAAATCATTGCTTAACCTAAGGTCATGAAGATTTATACCTATGCTTCCTTTAAGAGTTATAGTTTTAGCTCTTACATTTAGGTCTTTGATCTTTCACACCATTTTTTAATCTTAATTTTTTAGGGTCTTTTGTCTTGACCAGAGATATTAGCAAGTGACAGTTTTATTTTTTATTGTCAACATTTTGGTATATTTCCTTCTAATGTTTTTATATACATGCTTGTGTACACACACACACTCTCTCACTTTTTTTTTTAAACTAGATGGGATTTTTGTTCACTCTGTTCTCCTGATTGCAAATGAAAGCAGCTCTCAGTTTCTAAGGGCAGCAGGGAAGCACAGTGGAACTTCTCACTTTAGAAATACAATATAACCTTTGGGAATAGAAGTATAAACAGAGTGCGCATTTTCAAGTTTTGAATCTTCATTGTGAACATTAATCAAACTCTGGTTTTATGTCTATATCAAAACCTTCCCAAGAAAGATTTACTAGTTCAGAATTAAATATAATTTAGATGTGCTGACAAAAGTTTTTTTGTTGTTGTAGAGTCTATAAATTGCACCTTGACCTTCCTTTAGGTGGGAATGGTGTGTGTGTGTGTGTGTGTGTGTGTGTGTGTGTGTGTGCAGTTACTCAGTAAATATCTATTATGGGTGCTGTATGTAATAATAGGTTTCAAATAATTTTTTCTCATTGGTAAACCATTCTTATCAGGCTGTTTTTATTTTTCTATGGAAAGTCTATATATGTAT